GCTCCTCAGGTGGGGGTGGGGGAGGGCCACGATGCTCAGAGAGGTCCCCCTGACGGAGAACTGGGTTTCCAGTCGTTTCCAGTCTCGGGTTTACAGAATTCTCACTTCACACTTACTCGAGGATCAATTCCTCGAAGTGGAATGTTGCTGGGTTAAAGGGCGTATACATTGTAATTCTGCTTACACAAGGTGTGCCGAGATTTTTCACTCCCACAGGCAACGCATTCTGAGTTTCCTCACCCCGTGCCAGCTTTCGTGATTCAAAAGGATTTTCTACTAAGGCTTTACTGGGGAGTTCATTTCATTATAGCCTCCAGCTCATCAGGTTCCCCTGACAAGTATTCACTCAGCCTGCACACACACACACACACACACACACACACACACACAGAGAGAGAGAGAGAGAGAGAGAGAGAGAGAGAGAGAGATGGGTTCCCGAACAGAGGACAAGACACACCAAGGCAATGAACAGGAGCTGAAAATGAAAAATTCAACTGTGAGGAAGAATGATCTCACTGTGGGTCAAATCTGGCCTACATGCTGCAGTACACAGACGTTGGGCAGAGAGAAAGGAGGGCCAGTCCTGAGGGCTGCCACATCACAGACGCTGCTGCCTGCCCGCTCGCACACAGGACAGTGCAGAAGAGGAAGTCCGCGCTGAGGAAGCACAAGCCATCCTGGAGAGGAAGCACCAAGGAGCGCGAGAACATGTGATTGAGAGTCAGGATTTCTCCTTCCAGCAGCTGCTCTATGATTCTGAGAAAAACTATCGTTTCTCCGGGCTTCAGTTCCTCCCTGGTAAAAATGGGGAAGTCGGCCCTGAAGCCAACACTCTGTAGCCTGGAGAGAAGCATTCCAGGCGAATCTTACAGTGACTACTGTCCAACAGGATGTGCTGCGCTGGGTGTCAGGGGACAGAGGACTCCGCAGGGCCAAGTTCCAGTTGCTTCGTGCTGACAACCTGAATGGCTCTCAGGTCACACAAATCGATGCGAAAGCAATGTGTCTGGGCAGCCAAGTTCCCCTTTGATTCTAGAAACGGTTCCAACTTTCCCTGCAGTTTTGGAAAACGCCCCTGTGCCTGGGCTTGTATTCTACTTGTCTACAATCCGTTGACTCTAACGCCTTCACTAGTACTGACGTGATCACGGGCTGGGGAGACAATAGATCAACAGAGCAGACAGACACTCTACAGACAGAAGAGTGAATACACAAGGACACGAAACACAGCACAAGGAGGGGGAGGGGAAAGGAGGCTCGCTCCACTTATCCAAACCCCACTCACCTTCCTGCTAAACTCAGGTTCTTCTTCTGTTTAAGGGGTCACACCCAGCGATGTGCAGGGGTCACTCCTGGCTCATGCACTCAGGAATTACTCCTGGCAGTGCTCAGGGGACCATATGGGATGCTGGGAATTGAACCCGGGTCAGCCACGTGCAAGGCAGACCCCCAACCTGCTGTGCTATTGCTCCAGCCCCCAGACTCTCGTTCTTTCCTGATTTTCATCCCCACACATCATCACTGGCTCTTTTCTCTGCAGCACTTTGAACCGTGCGGAAGACCTGCTGTACATGAATAGTTTCCACTTCATGCCATTCACTGCATCAGAACATGAACTGTGAACTCCACAGTCGCCCCTGTGGGTAACCTAGGTGTGTCTGCTATAAACTGTCTCATCGGGGTGAGTCAAGTACATGCCAGAATGTTCACATGACAAACTCCAAGTGACGAATTTCTTAGACGGACTCTCACAGTCAAGCGACGCCGGGTCCTTGTGGGCCGTCTCATTCAGACCGAGGGGAAGGGTGAGACTCCCACCCACAGCCAGGCTGCCCACCACAGCACCGCCACTGAAGAGTTGCAGAGGCTCTAGCACAGCTCTCCTCCTTTGCCCAACACTGTGGTCTCAAGTTTTCACCCAACACATAGAAGCAGAACCAAATGGACGAATGAGCTCAACGGAAGAGCAAACTGATCCGGAGTAAGAAGGGATGACCAGGTGGTGCCGGGTCTGATCTTGGAGCTGATCCTCGGCCAAACATTAACCAGCGGAGGCCAAAGAGAGCCTAAAGGGCAAGTGTCAGGGCCAGGGTAGACCCAGAGCTCTCGGCCCACACCTAGGTCTCTTGCCCAACCCCCTGTGAAACAGATGCTTGGCCCAGGACTGTGGTGCCCCAACCCCCGTCCTCACACTCCACACACCAGGCAGCTCAATGCTCAGTTCCTACCCTCCCTGGGATTAAAGACAGTGAGGGGGGAGGGTGGTCTGAGACAGTCCAGGGCAGGGTCTGGACACACGACTGGTACGCAAGCCGATCCCAGTTCTCTCCCAGGCACCAGCGTCCCCTCCAGCCCCAGATGGGAGGGTCCCCAAGTCTCCTGGGCATCATGTGGAAGCCCTCCTCCCACTCCAAAAAAACCACCCCCCCAAAAAAAAACAAACCAACACGGGGGGCTGGAGCAATAGCATAGCGGGTGGGGCATTTGCCTTGCACACATCCAACATGGCCAACCCGGGTTCGATTCCCAGCAGCCCATATGGTCCCCCGAGCACCGCCAGGAGTAATTCCTCAGTGTATGAGCCAGGAGTAACCCCTGAGCATTGCCGGATGTGACCCAAAAAGAAAAAAAAAATCTATCACAGGCTCCCTTCATAGTGACCTCGAGTTCCTTCATACCCTTTTCCTAGTAGAAAACATGCATATTTCTTCACGTCAACATGCCCGAGGAACCCTACTTCATCGGTTGTATTTTTAGAACGCGAAACTGAGAAGAGAAACACAAAGCCACAACACATGTTCACAGCAGCACTATTTACAACAGCCAACGTGGGACCAACCCAAATGCCCATCAGCAGGTGACTGCAAGAACCAGACGTGCTATACTCACACGCCAGACTCTAATTCAGCAGCTGTGAACACTGAAAAGTGAAACTACCCGTCTGACATGAACGCTTTATCCCCAGGCTTGGTGCGAACACAGACGATAGGAAGGACGATGACAATGAACGTCTGTTAAACTGAGAGCTCGCCTATAATCCTGTGAGCTACTTAATCAGCCCATTTTCACTCCAGGTTAAAATTGGCACAGAGAAGGAGAGCAACCTGCCCAGACTACTGAGCCAGTAGGTGGCAGAAGCTCAACTCAAACCTGCAGCCCACCTACTTCCAGGATGTGTGAAGGCAGCGATGGCCCCACACAGGTGACACTCACCTTCCTCACTTGGGAACAGGAAGTCTCTGGTGCTCTCGGCCCCACAGGCCACCCAGCAGTGAGCCCCCTGCTCAGCCCTTGCAGGTACCTGAGCGCCTTCCACCCGGGGCCCCTGAGGCAAGTACTGCTATGCCCCGAGGGCAGCAGTATTGGCTCCTTTCTGAGGGTGAGATGGGGGAGGGGAGGAAAGGGAGGGCGGGTTCCTGCATGATCCTCTTCCTTCTGGCACCGACTGCAAGCCCAGTCCATTCCCGTGACAGAACAATGCTTACCCGCAACCCTCCAGCGCAACCAAAGGTGCCTTGTGTTCTGCCAGGGAACAAGATGAAGGCACACCTGTGAGCCTTAAGACGGGGTGACTCTGTCGGGCACGACCTTTCTCAGCACCGCAGAATCCAAATGCCCGTTCCAGGGCACCAACCTCAGGTGTCACGGTGCTCCGGGTCATCTGTGACAGCCACCCTGACCCTCTCGTGGCTCCCCTGCCACGACCTTAGTTCCTACCCCCGTTCTCCCACACCAAGGAAGCCAGGCCGAGAAAGACACGAGGTGGAAGGCATAAATCTGAACATAACGAACAGTTCCTGAAATAGGACACGTTCACATGTACGGAGTGAGACACCCTGGAAGGGACCAGGGGTGCGGCTCGGAGAGTGCAGGTGTGAGGCTGAGGGCGCACTCGCTGGCACCACGCACAGAAAGAGGGAAACGAAGGGAAACGTACTCCGTAATCTCACAGGTGCCAAGAACTCTAACGTCAGAGCAACTCCCAAAGACAGCACAACTATCGTTTCAGAACTGCGGATGAAGAGTGGGACCAGAGAGCACAGTGGGTAGGGAGGGCGCAGGCCTGGCAGGGGCCGACCCACGTTTGATCCCTCGCACCCCATAGGGTCCTCCCCCGCCAAAAACACGAACAAAAATGGAACCACTGACAAGGATCTGCAGACATGCCAAGCAAGGAGGGGCCCTGAGAGAGTGGGAAGAGACCCAGCCCGGACACGGAGGGCAACTGCTGGCAGAGCCGCCCCGTGACTGCTGAGAGAAGGTCGGCGACCTGTGTTTCGGGAGGGTTCTCTTGGAATTTCAACAGGAGAACCAGACTCTGCAGGGTGCGGGTTATTTCTATTCCGCGTACAACACTGCTGGAATGCAGAACAATCCCCAAGAATGAAATGAAAAGGGACACGAGACATGCAGGTTTTCCCATGACAAAACAAGGGGCTTCAATCTCACCCCGAGGTTTTGTCTGTCTACATTAGCAGAAAGTCGGGGGATCACACACCAGTCTGAAGTGAAAGAGGCTCACAGCCGTGCCCCCACAAAACCAAAGCTGCGCTGCGCACAGACACAAAATAAGAACAGAGCTAACATTTACAAACGGCCCAGACAGCCACTGTTTGCCTCGAGGAAGCAGCAAGAAAGTCAGGCAACCTTTAAGCCGAGATACTCGTCACCAGCCGTTTCCCACCCAAGACCGCAGCCTCAGCTGAGTTAAAGAGAAGTTACCTGTGAATTCAATGTTTGCGTTTAGTCATACTTGGTGGTGAAAGGGACCCAATGAGATTTAGAGAAGCTCAAAGAATTCTTCTTGTAAGAAACCGCTGCCGGTATACTGGAACTTATTAAAGGAATCGTCTGTACAAAAGTGAACTCTGCACAGAAAAGAAATCGCCTCTTTTCTTCCTGTTTCAGGCGTTATTTTTGCGCAAGAATGTAGGTCAGATACAAAAGAAAACAGTTTTACAGGTGACAGGTTAAAATGCTGAGCAGTGGGTGGTACTTACTGCTGGTTCAACTTGACTTCGATCTGCAATATCTATGTGGACAATTTCAACAGTTTTCCAAGTGTTTGGATCTAAACCATGGACCTAAAAGACAGCAAGAGACAAAATTGGAGTTCACTTTTTTTGGAGGGGTGGGGCGGGGAGAGGCACACCCAACAATACTCAGGGGTTATTCCTGGCAGTACGCAGGGGACCATATGGGATGTCGGGGATAGAACCCAGGTTAGCCAGGCATAAGGCAAATAAATGCCCTACCTACCGTACTATCGCTTGGGTCCCTGGCGTTTACTCTTATTAGGGAAAACTATTACAAATTTAATTTTTGTCTTGAGTCTCTTAGAGTAAATTACGAGGAACAAAATTCCGGATTCCTACTTTGTGAAATTAGCCTTCTGTAGAAATCTTCTGTTATCTCTGATGTACCCAAATAATAAAAGCACCAAGGACACTGTCAAACAAACACAAACCTCTTATTTCTGGTCGTTCTTAGACAAGATTGAGCAAGTAAAATCTACCTGACCTATCCATGACGTAGCAGCACTCTAGGATCATTCCAGAGCCCCCGAATATCACCCATCTTGGGAAACATTGATTTAACCCGAACAAAATGTTATAAAGTCCTTGCAGCCTCTGGATCCTCAAGAACTTAAGGCGAGTTTATGGTCAGATTATCACAGATTGCAATGAATGTTCTAAAACCTTTGCTCAACATACTAATCCTGAAGCTACTCAGTTTCAGAATGATGCCAACGCTTCCCCATCTCCTGTTCTTTAATCATTTCTTCCTGAAAGTTCACCTTGAATCAGTTAAGAATTATTTCAAAACTGCCAAAGATAAGCCCATTTCAAAGCTGGAAACGGCAGCTTAAATCAAACGTCGATCAGGGCTGCAGAGATACTACAGCAGGTAGGGGAACCGCCTTGCAAGTGGCTAGCTTAGGTCCAAAGGGTCGCCGCAGACCTGCCAGGAGCAAACGCTGAGCACAGATGGATGTGGCCCAAACAAGAAAAACAAACAATATTAAATAAATCAAATGTGGACCAAATCTTCTCAGTCTAACTTAAGCGTCATTAGGAAACGGGAGGTCGGAGTACAGCAGGCAGGGTGCTCGTCGAGTGCGTGGTCAGTCCGAGTTTGACATCCCCCGCCCCTGCCGCCCCTTTGCACCACATCATGCAATTCCTGAGTGCAGAGCCAGGAGCTGCTCCTGAGCTTCGCTGGGCGTGGCCCCCAAATCAAGAGTTAGTAGGAAAAGCCAAAATGTAAGACGTGAAACAATCTAAAAGAAAAACTCACGTCCAATATTACAAACCTCACCTCAAAATGTTCTGAGATGCCAACAACGTAAAATCACAGTGCTAGGACTCCACATCACCACTTACTCTCCCGTGACGGACTTCAAGGGTGCTGTGGAGTTCGACTGCACAGAGATATGCAAGCAGATCTCTGCTCTCCCCACCCCCGGCCGCAGTCAGTGCGTCGGTGTGAGGAGGAACCTGAGAAGCTGCAGGTCCCAGATGCTCCTGCTGTCCATGGCCACATACTGGAGACCACCGAGCCAAGGACATTCGTCTTTGCCGGGGTCCCCTCCCCAGTTCCTTGACCGACAGCGTCAGAGGTTCAGCCTTAGGCCGAGTCTCATCTGCCTCCTCTGAACTTCCTTGAGGGGTAAATGTGCGTCAGCTTGTAAAAAGGAGATTCTTAATATTCTTGTACATAAATCAAAGTATCTTCTCCCTCCTTTTGGCCATTTCTCCACATCCACACACGTTCTTGCCAAACAGGATGGAGGTGAAAACTGAAGCCACCCATTTACCGCAAGAAGCTCTGACAAATACACAGAAACAGAAAGTCGAAGGAATCTAGAAGAGCTAAATTGGTCTGAGGATTATCTCTGACTTTTGTTTACCTATGCTTTCATGATCTTGCATAAATATAGTTGCTGATAAAGCAGCAGCTTCAACAAAGTTCACGGGAGCTCCTGACAGAGCAAGGCCAGGAGTTCCAAGTGGCATGCCCACCTCACCGCAAGCTGGCACAATTCTCAGGGCTGGACGGCCAGGAGGCAGAGGCCAACACTCTGGGGATGACAAGCAGACGACAGGACACCCACTCTCGGGGGCTTTGCATGCAAAGAGCCAAAACTTACGTTTTCTAACGTTCCCAGGTCTGGTTTGTGCCATGTTTCAATTTTAATGAAGAAATCATCTTTCATATATTCATTCTGTAGAGAACACAACGAGACGATGGTGACCTCTTACTGGGCTGTGGGGCTCACGCTCCCGGGACCCGTCCCCAGCACAAGCACCCATGCTGTGATTCTTTGACCCCCAGTGGCAAAGGGAAAAACTGACCTATCTTTATTGACTTACCGGGCAAATCAAATGGTGCATGCTTTTATATAATTTAAACAATCCTGTTTGTCATGCAGCATGCAGAGCTGATATTAAGAAGGTGTGAGAATTAGTGAGCGAATCTAGCATCAACGTAGCAGAGCAAAAGAAGGTCAGTAACAAACACCCAAGCGAAACTGCAAGAGCCGATACCACTGGGAACTTGGGTGCAGCGTGGACTGATCACAGGAGCAAAGGAGTTAGACAGCAGCATGTAGTTTCAGTGGGGGGAAAAAGCAAGGAAAACCGTATTTCACTGCATAACTGGTACAGATCTCTTGCAGAAAATAATTTTTCTGTGGGTGAAAAATAGGTGGGCTATTATCCCTTAGTGAAGCTCTTTTTTGAAGTGTGCCAGTCTTAAAAGCAGTGTGATAACACTGGGGCGACAATTATGCGGTGAAATCATTAACGGCAAATGAAAAGAACTGCTACGTAAAGCCAAGAGAAAGAGTAAATAACACAAAAACTTGTACTCACCGTTACAACTGAGGCATAACGTACAGGTGCAGGGAGGTGGGGGGAAGATTGCAAAACATTAGTCAGAACTAAAATCACCTGCCCCAATACTTAAACCGTCACAAAAAAAATAAAATCCCAGTAAACAAAGGATCCACTAGCTGGTGTCTGCAGCCCAGGCTTTCATACATGTGACGGGGCTTTTGACTATGAAGTGAATAATCTTTTAACAAGGGTGAAAGAAGTAACAGCACCAAGGTAAAAGATCACTGACTTGGGGCTGGAGTGATAGCTCAGCGGGTAGGGCGTTTGCCTTGCACGCGGCTGACCCAGGTTCGATTCCCAGCATCCCATAGGGTAATTCCTGAGTGCAGAGCCAGGAGTAACCCCTGTGCATCGCCGGGTGCGACCCAAAAAGCCATAAAAAAAGATCATTGACAAGGTTTAGCAAACAACAGGGCACTTTCAGAATTCAGTTCTATTTTTTAATTCAAACCCTGTCGAGACATTTCTAAGCAGGATGAGCACTCTCATCGGCCTCTGTATTCTCGTTATTTGCTCATCCCTGGAGGCTATTCTGGTTGGAAGGAGTGTGAGGTGGCTGTCACCTGGGAACGCATCCCCTAACGAAGATGTGTTGGCCCAACCCAACCCAGCTTTGTCTCTGCCATGGGCACCAGGGCAGGCTTTGCTTAGTGCTCCCTTCTCAAAAGGGAGCGTAGGAGGAGTGTCCCCCCCAGCTCAGTAGGGGGTGAGAGGCAGGCGGGCGCCGGGGCGAGGCTTACTTGTTCTACAGTAGGGGTATGCATTCCAGGCCTTCTCGTGGAACACCAAGGAGCCCTCCGGAGCAATCATTCTCACGAAGGCAGGAACTTTGCTGTGAGGAGAGAGAGACTGGCTGTATTTAATGGCCCACCAATTCTTTGTTGGTGTACCCGACTCCTTCAGAGATGATTGTAATCAAAGTCAATTATGTTCGACGCCTCGTGAGCTCGTGTTCAAGGCCATTACTAATAGTCTGCTTTTCAATTCCCAAGTCATCGAGTGGAAAATTAATATAAAAATAACAAAATGATTAGAGGACGTCTGACTACACAGAAGCATCCTCTTTAAAAGACACAAGTGGGGCTGGAGCAATAGCACAGCAGGTAGGGCGTTTGCCTTGCATGCGGCCGACCCGGGTTCGATTCCCAACATCCCATATGGTCCCCTAAGCACCGCCAGGAGTTAACTCCTGAGTGCAGAGCCAGGAGTAACCCCTGTGCATCGCCAGGTGTGACCCAAAAAGCAAAAAATAAATAAATAAATAAATAAATAAATAAAAGACACAAGCAATGCTTCCTGAAGGGCTTTGGAAATCACCTCACTTGTGTCTCCCGGAGGTGCCCCGGAAGAGGGCAAGGGTGAGAGCCTGGGCCAGGATGCTGAGAGAGCCTAGAGGAAGAGACCTGGCCAGGCTGAGGGTGTGGAGGGAACATTCTGGGGGCAGAAGACAAGCTCGATCAAAGGTCCTGCGATAACAAGAGACTGGCCCCTGTGAGTCACGATGTCTCCAGAGGACCAGAGGGCACTGAACAGAAGTCAAAGAATCAAGATGAGGAGGACAGTACGAGGAGCAGGAGAGGAAAAAAGAGGGCGGGGGTCCCATTTTGTGGTCTTAATTTTTTGCTGTTGTTCAGGCCTCTGATAAGGGTAATGACACAACCTGGTTAAAAAAAAATTTTTTTTAATTTGAAATTTTTTCTTTTGTGACCTTTTTTTTGTGCACAATGTGAGTAAAAGTTAAAATGGATTAAAGGATCAAATTCTCAGAAGAAAACCTGTTGATTTTTGTAGCCTTCAACTGAGCAATAGTTTCCTAGATATAATACCGAAAAATAAAAAATATAAACATAAGAAAGTATAAGCAAACTGGACTTCATCAAAACTACACATTCTGGGAGGGGTGTGTAGGGTGAGTGGGGCTCAAGCCATACCCAGCAGTGTTCTAGGCTTACTCCCAGCTCTGTGCTCAGGGGCCATATGTGGTACTGGGTTTCAAACACAGGCTGGCTGTGTGCAAGGCAAGTGTCTTTCTCCCGTATACAATCTCTCTGGCCCAAAATGATCAACTTTTTAAGCCTCAAGAGACATAAGGAAAGACAGTTCCAGAATTACAAAGACATTATCTCACACTAGGAAAAACTAAGGCATGTCACATACTTGATAGTGAACTATTTTACATCAAGAACTTCAAAAACAACAAGAACAACAAAAAAAGACAAATCAACTAAAAGTAGATTTGAACAGATTTCTTCATGGGTCTACAAATGACCAATCAGTCAGAGGAAAAGTCTCAGGATAGACCCAACAGTACGGCTGTTATCAAAACCAAACCAGACCAAACCAACCTGAAACAACAAGTATGGGTAAAGAAGTGGAGAAACTAGAGTCTTGATACACTGCCGGAGGGAATACACAATACACTTTGGAAAAGCACCTGGGGGTTCTTCAGAAAAGGAACTACCAACTGACCTAGGAATTCCGCACGAGTGTAGTAAAACGCGTCTACACAGAAACTTGTACATCACCAGGACAGCACTGTTTAAAACAGCCAAAAGAATGGAAGCGGGCCCCCGGACCTGTTCAGCAGGCAGGAGGCCTGGGTTGGATCCCTAGGATAAGCTCAGCCAGGGGTCACACACACCCTAGGAGGTAACCCCAGAGCACCACTGGGTATGACCCCTGAACTGAAAATAAAAATCCAGAACAAATGAGAAGCAATCGATATGGAGGTAAGTGGAGAAGGTAGAGAAATTTGGTAAGCTAGACTAACGTCTGCAAATTAAGAGAGAGAAATAGGAGGTGGGAAAAAATTACAGAATGACTTGAAATTCCAATCTGTGGGATAGGAATAATCACTCCAAGTGGATGACTTCTAGAAGACACAGTAAGAGACCAAAATCTCATGATCCACGACTGGCCCACAACTGAACGAAGATGGCGAAAATTCCCTGCTTCTGAGGAATACAGACAAAACTAATTTTCCCCAAGAAGGAAAAAAAAAAGAAGATAATTGGTCGGCATGCTTCCAGAGGCTTTAGGAGGGCTCCAAATTTTCCTCTGGGGTGGCATATTAATAGTTACATTTCCTTGTCGTGCTTCAAAACCCTACGCCCACAGATCCTGCCCTCCTTCCCCATTTCCCACTTCCAAGTGCATGGTAAGACAATTTCAGAAAATGGTCATAGTAAACTGGGACTGTTTATTACAGAGTCCTCTGAGCGAAGCTAAAATGAATTGGAACATCTTTCTTTTAATGTTTTGGGCCATACCCAGTGATGCTCAGGGGTTGCTCCTGGGGGGTTCAGGGGACCAGACGAGATGCTGAGGAACAAAGGGCGGCCGCGTGCAAGCCAAGTGCCCTAGCTGCTGTATTCTCTTTGGGGCCCCAGAATTCGGGACCTTGTTCAAGGTATATATCACATATAATTACTGTATGATTTAATATTAATTATTGATAACTTAAAATATAATTTTAAGATTGTAGATAATCTTCAATGTCTTTAATTAAGTTAAACTTTTAGAAGAAAATGAGACTAGACTTATGAGAAAATGTTCCGCTGAAACCCATGTTTTTGGAAGAATTTCTCTGTAAACTCCCCAGAAATTCCCTTCAGGAAACGGGAAACCCTTTAACCTCACTAGGGCTTGGCAGGAGAGCAAAGCAAGAGGGCAAATTCTAGTCCCAGTGCCCGCCTGGGCCCACAGCCTCTCTCTGCTTCCAATAGAGGTGAAATGAGCCAGCAGCTTTCCCCTCTTACACCTTTCGATCTTTCTCTAGAGAAGATTCTGTGGGGAATGAGTGAGAGCTCCCAGCTAAGTACTGCAGAGATCAGAACACGGGGAGAACATACTGTGCTGGATCCGCTACACGGGCGACAGCTCGCGGGGAGTTACAGAGGGTAGGAAGGAGCCAGCCTGTGAGGAACTATTATCTGGGACCAAGGAAGTCAGACATTTGGAATGTTCTTCGCGGTGGTCACCACACTGGGTTTTTCCAAATACCTTGTCAAGATGTTCCTCAACCTTCTGACTGAGATTAAGAAGTGTTTTTGCCGAAAGGTGAAAGCACACGGGTCAGGAAAATGCAGACACCTTGGTTACACAAAATGAACCTTGGCACAGGGAAATAAGGTGCTGTGGGCCTTTGCCAACCACCTTGGCCAGCAAAGTCCACAATCCCACACACATACGGTGTGACCCAAAGAACTAGTGGACAGAAATTTAACATCCGCAGGGACAGAGCTCGACTTGCTAGTGACTGTGGGCATGTCTCAGCATGCTGAACTGCAAGTCTAAGGGGCCAGACCTCCCACCTGTTGTGATAGATTTTTCCTCCAGCACACTGAAGACCTCAGCACTTACCGTGTGATTCTCTGCTAGTCCACAATACCGCTGTCATACGATTATTGTGCCTTGAACAGGACACACTGATAACTTTGAGTGCAGATGTCTGATTGCCCCGTCCTGTGAATTTCTCTCCCCTGACTCTGGTACCAGATGGTGCCTGCCTTAATGGACAGGTTTGGGTTTACTACTGAGTGGCCATTATCGATCCCACTCCAGGAGATCTATTACTGCCATCCTCTCTCCTTTCCTGTTCCAAGCCTTCGCAGACAACCACCCACAGCTGCCATCTCTGCATGACTGGGTCAACCATTCATGGGCATCACACAGCCCTAATCCAGTCCGACTCGCTCCTCCCCTCTCAGGGAACGCTTTCCAACTCAACAGGTCCCGTGAGTGCAGACACTTTAGACCACTTATCTGGAGCCACAAGGGCTTTGTAGTATGGTGGGTGGGAGGCTTGCCTTGCACACAGCCAACCTGGCTTTTACCTGACTCAAGATGGTCCCGAGGGCGAAGGAGTCGTCCCTGGTTGTGGTGCCAAAATTAAGTCCTGAGGACCACCAGGTGTGGCCCCCAAACAAAACAACAACAAATGTGTATCTCTGCACACCCACTAGTTTACATGTTTAATAAGCCTGTCAGTCGAGCATGCTTACTTAATAACATGACTAAGTATCACATGTGAACACGTTCTTACCTCTTTAGATGGTAAATCTTGTGTGTGTACTGTCCTTTTTCTCCGTCCTTCTCGTAAGGCTCATTCTTTAGGACTTCGATTCCTTCTCCGCCACCAGTTTCATTCTTGCTAGCTTCTGCAACAGAATACAGCTGCCCAACCTGATACTGAAATGTCAAACAATAGAGAGTTTCAGTAAGCCTTTAGCAACTGCACAGACTGCTGAATTCTTATTTTGGAGGATCTAAGCACAACCAAAGCATTCAGCATGTAGGTTCTATATAACTTAACACGACTCGGTAGTACATTTAGGATGACAGACGATCAGTCACACAGCTGTGAGAAACCACGTTCTTATAACATTTCCACTACTTTAAAAAAAAAACTGATTGTAAATAACCTGGTGCGTTAATATGCACCATCCACTTATCAAGAAAATAAGTTGTCACTGGATTCATGGGAGAGAGGGGTAATATATAATTTCCACAGTATTTTCACATTATCTACCAGCTGACTCACAAAACTCTTAGGAAGGAGTGGTAGGAATGTCATTGTCACTCGTTAAGAAGGCGAAGCAAATAGAACGGAGTCCTCAAGAATGGTGCAGGAGGACTGCAAGCTGCATAACCCAAGTGTGAAATACACAGAACCATCCCATTACAGTTCAAAATGAGAAGGCCTCTGGGTCGTTCTCCCTTTTGTACGACATGCCGAATTTGACCCTGACCCACCAGGACACTGAGCATCAGCACTGAGTACCCAAGACCAAACTGCTCATTGTGAAGTCCTCAACAAACAGAAAATATTTTTAAAGTATTACCAGTAAGTACCATAAAAGGTAAAAAGTTACTGACGGCCTCCTTCACCGTCAAGCAACCCAGACTCCTGAGCGGTCCCCACTGATGTGCTCTGCCAAGGTAGAGAAACCACTGACAGTCCCAACAACTGATAGAAAACCACCTTTTCAAGCTCTGATTTGTTTCGGTCACTCAACCAGGCCTTCTCTATGTTCTAATTTGGCTAGATTTCTTCTTCCCAATGTAGAAGACAGACCAGAGCAGTGTTTTTCTTTTTCCAAAAGCACATTTGCAAAGAAAAGTTACAAGGATCTACCTCTAGGCAGTAATTCAAAAGTTAACACTTGAGGAATGAAAAGTACCACAATTTCTAAAGACGTCCCTATTTCTAAATTCTGGGGTCCGTGACTATATCTAAAAAAACCAAGGGAAATATTCTTTTTCTCTCTCAATTCAGAAGTTCAGGAAGCTGGAACCAGACATTTTTCTCAAGCGCCTAAACAATGAGCTGATGTGGGGCTTTTAAACTGCAGAGAGAGGTCTTATTTGGGCTCTCACATTGCAATACCAGGGTTACTTCAGAAATACGACAATCCTTGAGATCTTAAAAATGCACTGTTTCAACACTCGTTTAAGAAAGTAGTCCTGAAGGACTGAGCTACCAAAGGAGGTAAGGGCACCTGCCTTGTACCCAGCTGATCCCAGCTCCAAACCCTGGCACTATCCACAGAGCCCTGGGCACCACCAGAGAGCACTGCCGAACAGAAGTCTGGAACGGCCCGGGACCACTGCCGAGTACGGTCCCCCCAATCCCCAGCCCCACCCCCCAAAAAGTTAGTAAGACTATCCAATGTTTCTCAGTCAAAAGGTCAAAGTGATTTTGGTCAGGATATAGCAACAAACATTTACAGAGAAACACAGTATTCAAATTTTTTAATGGAAGGACTGCCATTTGGGGGCAAGTGGGCGGTGGGGGTGGGGATGGGCAGACCAAGTGGAACGCAGGATCACTCCGGGTGGGCTCGGGAACTAGGGGTTGAGTCCAGGGCAGGTGCGTGCAAGACCAGTGCTTTGACTACTGCCTCTAGCCCTAATTTGTGGCTTTTGGCAGGGACTTCCCTTACTTCATTTTTAGGCTGCAGGTAGAGGTCGTTCCTGGCAGTGCCGAGGAAGTGCTGGGGACTGAGCCTAAAGCCTCACATAAAAGGCGAGTGCACTGCTGCGGGGCCAAATTTTCAGCCCTCCTTTCAAGAATGAGGTGAGACAGGAAGCCTGTTTGCAAAGCATGACCAGAATCTGACTGGATTACTCTGGGTGACAATCCCAAGACTCAGACAGATTTTAGGAAGTCGAGTCAACTACCTGAAACCTAGCAAAAGAGGAAAAAAAAAAAAAAAAAGGAACAAACATCAATTTCCAGATTCAAGTTCAAGCGATTAACTGTACAAATAAAGAATAAAGGTGCCTTGTCTTGAGCATTCTTGCTGAAGTGAAATCTCAGGCATGACTGTGATATACACAGCTTTTGTTCAAATCTGCATTCAACAGTGCCAGACAGCTACTCTATTTTAGCTCACACATTTTATTTTCTTGTGCGTTCTGTCTCGTGTCAGCTGTCACATCACTTCTGAGGTTATCAGTGTGTTTTGTCCCACTTCCAACTCACTGCTTCCAATCCTTCGGCTCCAGGGAAACGAAGGAACCGAGCAAGTGCCATTGGTATGCAAGTTATAGAAGAACCCAGAGTGCTCTGGTGTTACACATCTGCAGATTTCTCAGGACCCAGGTCTACTTTTATCCTCGTTCTTGGCAGTAACTGCGGGACACGCAAATTCTGAACAGGTGATGTATTTCTGTCTCATGCGCAGACCAAGGGGAACGGTAATCTCTCCCTACGTGCCGGCCAGATCACGTCGAGAGTGCTGCTTTCGGCAGAGGGCACTAATTACACCATATGCGGCAGTGAAACCGGCGAGTGAGAGAGTGTACAGGTCATGTCAAGAGACTAAGTTGACTACACATGCAGGCTGGGAATATTTAACCTTATGACCTCGTGCAGAGAAGACGAAACAAAGAGCGTGGAAGAGGAGAGAAAACTGGCATCAGAAACTCTCAAGGGTTTCCATATGCAAGATAGAACAGGCTTATTTCCTATTGCTCAGTGGAATGTAAACAACCACCGAACATTAGAAGAAAGCAGACTTTGGCCCAAAGACAAGAGCTGAACATTTTCAGCATAAAGTAGACTGTGTCTATTTCTCTGGTATACCACGAAAAAAAAAAAGTCCCGCACCGAGTGTTCAAACAACACGTTTTGGATCCGTGTAGGACTAGGCAATGCACACAAAAATTAATTTCTTATTTATGGGCTGGAAAGAGAGCTCAATGGGCTGGCACACAGGCCGTGCATAAGGGAGGTCCAGGTTCAGGATCTTGCACTGCCACGGTCCTCAAGAGCACTGCCCTGGAGTAACTCTGGAGCACAGAGCCAGAAGGTCGGGAGCACTCACTGTCGGTGCTACCCCTTGCCCTGCCGGCAATTACTTGTGACCTTCAGTGATTTGTCACAAGTACTGAATGTCCAGGTATAAGTGAAATCAACAAAGATATTTAAATGAACATCAAAACTAACCAGGTGAGGGGCCAGAGAGCGCATGGGGCTGCTGGATGCCTGCAACAGGAGGTCCAGGTCTGATGCCCAATACCACGCGGCCCCTGGGCACCAAGCTGGGAACAGTCCCTGAGCACCACTGGACAGGGCCTCCCAAACAAGCAACCACGACGAAACCAACCCGATAGATAAAATAATGCAGAAGAGACTTACCTCCTGAACAGAACATGGCAAAACCACACGGCTAGAAAGACAAAAGGAGGGTATGTGTTAGAAACAGCTTTAAAACAGGTTTCCACACTGAAATGAGCTTTTACGAGGATGTGATTTATGGAAGAGGGCCTTGGCAAACCCTACAGTTCTACGGGCTTTAAACTAAGAAATAAAACCACCACTTCTGGACCTCTTGAGAGGCATAAAAACTCATCAATGAAAACGATAGTGTACAAAACGGAGTGCGTGCAGACTGAACCAGAGGGCTTCATGAATTTGCTAGTGCGAGTTTGTGGATCCATATACCGTGGAGTTTGTCTAACAAGAAAATGTTTCCCACTCAACACAGAGCAGACCTGGTCAAGCTATGTTCCGGGGACGACTCTACATAAAAGATTGCTAGGTGGATCTGTTTGGGGTTTTCTTCTTTTGTGTGTGTGTGTGTGTGTGTGTGTGTGTGTGTGGTTTGTTTCTGTTTTATTTGGGGACCACACCAAGTGGTGCTCTGGACTCAGGGATCACTGCTGAGTCGGCCGTGTGCAAGACAAGCACCGTAGCTGCTGTGCTATATCGTTCTGGCCCCAGATTGTTTGATCTTGTTCAAGAGTTTGTGACTGGACAAACCAGTTGCTAACATTTATTCTCCTCAAACATACATGTTTGAATACTCAGATCACCTTGTGTGAAGCATGTCGCCTGTTCACTAGCCTTTGGGAGGTGACCGTGATCGCGTTATGGCAGATTTCTGAAGCTTTATTTATAATGCTATAGATCCGTGTACCACTCTGACTGAAAAACAAACTGCTAAGTCTTCTGCCAATCCCTCTTTCTCACTCACGGGGAGTCACTCAGCTGTGCGCTGAGCACGGTCATCTAAAGACAACGAACATTCTCCAAGTGACCAGTCGCTAACAACCTACTCTCATCAAGAATAAAGCCGCACAGGGGATGCGGCTCAGGGGTAGCGCACGTGTCGTGCAGGGATGAAGCTCTAGGTGTGACCCCACCTCCACGCCACACACATGCACATACCCTGCCAAGTGTTTCATCTTCTGTGCAAGCACCACAATCAACTGTGTCCCATCCCACCCCAACAATGACTGGGAAGGGGTGAAAAGTCTTCGCACTAACTTGTTCACCTCACACTAACACTAACAGAATTGGGGGCTGGAGGGGGACGGAGAAAGGAAGGGGCAGACAGGCGGGAGAGGAAGGGTGGGAGTGTATTTTCAGGGATCTATTACACTCATCAGGCAACAAGGAATCCTGGAAGTGGTGCAAGTGGCATGACTACAGATAACCCCCCCCCCCAAAAAAAATCCGTTGGTTACAGAAAACCTTGCAAAGTACAGGAAAAGTTACCATCTGTGAGGTGAGGTGAGGTGAGGTGAGGTGAGATGAGGTGAGGTGGGGGTTCCCAAAGGCCAGATCCAAGATGACAGAGGGAATGAAGTGAGGAGGAAACAGAGGAAGAAGACAAGACTTTCCCCAAGCGCCACAAAAATCACAATCACTGCTGAGTAATTTTAACACGCACCAGCAGAAGAATCCTATTTTTATATCTAACACTTTCAGGAAATCTTGTTGAACAAAATCTAAGTGACAGGTAAGAAGATATTCTGAATGAGTCAAGTAACTTCTTGAACGTTTGCTCAATGAAATGTGAGAGCCGGGCACATTCCCCACTATAATTCTTAAGAGAGGATTCATTTTTAAGAGCAACTTGAAAGGTTTCAAACTTCTCTGAATATTCTCAGGAGAAAATAATTCTCCAACTAACGACAGATTATTCCGAGCCAGGACTGGGAGGCGGGATATGGAACAAGGGGCAGAGCACAAGCTGAGCACATGCACGCTCCTGAGTTTGATCTCCACCACGTGGTCTCCCAACCACCTCGCAGGGTGTGGCTGCCATAAAAAAAATTTCAATAAAACCAGGACTTAATGCTAATGGCAATTTATTGCTAAAGTAATAACTTGAAAGGAACACTCCACCTTGTAAAGTCATTTCTAACCTTTTAATTCACGTCAAAAAGTTTTTTAAAAAATGTAAAAACATTTGCTAAATAATTTACAGTTTCACAGAGGTATAACATATCCATTGTTCCCAATTAAGAATGATTTTAGAAGGACCAGAGAGAGAGTACAGCAGGTAGGGCGTTTTTCTTGCATACAGCTGATCAGGGTTTGATCCCCGGCATCCCATATGGTCCCCCGAGCACTACCAGGAGTGACTCCTGAGTGCAGAGCTAGGAGTATTGCTGGGCGTGGCCCCCCCAAAAAAAATTTAGAAAGTGGATTTGAGATAAGATTTACCTTTCTTTCCTTTCCCCTAAACTAGATGCTGGTCTGGCGACTGAGAAGCTGATGAAAGAAAAAAATAGTTTTTGCCTTCTGAAAGTGGAGAAGGGAAAAGACTAGGGGAGACACGTGAGTTGTGAACATCATGAAATGTATTGATCACTTTTCAGGAAGAAAAGGCGGCACTGGATGCCAGACAACGTTTGTCACTTAGATCTACTTAGATTTTGACAATGGAAGTAGAGGTCGGCAAAAAAAAAAATAAAAAATAAAGACAATGTGCAAATTCCCAGCGGGAACTGCTTTCCATGAGTTCACTTGATACACCTCAAACAACTGCCTAGGGAATCCACGGAACACTTAATTCACAGCTGAGGAGGGAGGAAATAGCGCTACTGAAAGAAAAATGACCACATCATCTGAGCTCTCCAATCAGTCCTGCAACTGCGGGGGCCAAATCCATTTCCCTGTCTGATTTCCTCCATCCTCTTGGTAAGTGCCACCTGTCCACATCACTGAGCCACCTAATGGAGATCGCACTTGCACGGGACGCTGGACCAACAACCTGGGTGGCAAGCTGCATACATCAAGCCACCAAGAAGTCAATGTTTCCTATTTAAATGGAAGGTGTTCAAATTTCCACCGCCAAAAAAAAAAAAAAAAGAAAAGAAAAAAAGAAAAAATTTTGCCTCTCTTTCTCATACGGTCCCTGCTGCTGTCACTGACTTGGGTTCTCATTCACAAGTGCATTCAGCAAGTATTACTGAGTGCAAGGGCAGCCAAGCAGACCCTGCCCTGCGCCCCCAACAGAGCAGACACTTTTAATTGGGGTGGGGGGAGAGGGTCAGGGGAGGGGAGACTGGCCAGCACACCTGCACCACGGGTGATGCTCACTGCTACGGAGAAGAAGGAAGCAGGAAGGGCAACACTAAGTGCTGGCGGTGCTGCTGGGGTCCCGGGAGGAGGGGGGGGGGGTCCCCGGGAGGCGGAGCCCCCGCAGGACGCGGGGTGGGAGGAAGCAGCGGGCAGGGGAGAAACGCGGAAGCCTGGGAGGCCGGGGACGGGCAAGGGGAGGAAGCGGTCAGGGGGCGAGATGGACGCGGAGACTCAGGCGAGGGGGGGTCCCAGGGGAGCGCCTGGCTACGGTGGCGGCGGGATAGGGGGTCGGGGGGCGGGGGGGGTTGGGGATGGGTTTCCAAAGGCCGGGGAGGGGCAGCGGCGCCTGGACAAAAGGAAACCCAAGAACACGGGGAAGGGAACCGACGGTGATGATGAAGATGACGACGATGAGGCGGGGAAAGGCCAAATGAATCCAGAATGGAAAAACAAACAGCCAAAAACACTTGCGGCCCCCAACCCTGCAGACCCTCTCCCCACAGCCCCGCGTGGCCGGGGAACCGACCACCCGGGGTAGCCGTGACAGCCGATTCCCGGGGTGGGGGGCGCTGGGTCGCGGCCGGGCGGGGGGGCTGGCTGCCGGGCGACCCCGCGGGCTGGGCCCCGTCTCCCCGCCCCCCGGGGGGGTCTGCCCCCGGCCCCCGGCCCCCGCCCCGGGGCCGCCCACCCCCCACCCCGCGGCGGCGGGTCCCGGCGGAAACTCCCGACCGCGCCTTCCCAGCCACGCGCTCCGGCCCGGCGCCGCCGCCTGGGCCCCGGGGACCCCGGGCGCGGAGTGCAGGGCCCCGGGGGGCCGGGGGTCGCCGGGCGCGCGCCGCCGAGGGCCCGCGGGGGCCGGGGGCGCGGGCCGGGGGGAGGGGGCGCGCGCGGGGGGCGGCCGGCCCGGGTTCTACCCCCTTCCCCCTCCTTTCAGGAACACCCCGCCGCTTTCCAACCCGCGGGCCTCCGCCCGCCGCCGCCGGCCGGGCCGCGGGGCCGCCGTGCTGCCCCCCGACCCACTTACAATTCCTTAATCAGCACCATCTTCCCAGAAGCCCCGCACAGCTGCCGCCGCTACCGCCGCCGCCGCCGCCGCCGCTACCGCCTCTCACGGCGCCTGCGCGGCCCCGCCCCCGGCCCGCCGCGCCGCCGCCGCGCCTGCGCGGACACGCCCTTCCGCTCGGCCCGTGACGTCGGCGCGCGCCCGGGGCCGGCGGCGTCGCCGGCGCGCGCCCCGCCCTGGCCGCGCGGAGCCCCCAGTGCGGCTGCGCGGCCCGGCCGGCGCGTGTGCGGCTGCGCGAAGGCGGCGCCGCCGCGGCTCGGCTCCTCCCGCCCGCCCGCCCGCACGCCCGCCCGCCCGCCCGCCCCGGCCCCTCGAGGCTCCCGTGTGCAGCCGGGTCTCGGGGGTGCGTGCCCTGGAAGCTGTTTTTTATTTATTTATTAATTGTTTTGGCTTTTTGAGCCCTACCCGGCCGTGCTCAGGGCAGACTCCTTGCCCTGCCTGCACTCGGGCATCGCTCCCGGCGGTGCACGGCTGGACCATATGGGATGCTGGGGCTCGAACCCGGGCCGGCCGCGTGCAAGGCAGACACCCTCCCCGCTGTGTTACCACTCCGGCCCCGAAGCTGGTGTGCTGTTGTTGTTGTTGTTGTTGTTGTTGGGGTGTTTGTGTGTTTCTCGGACGGGCTCGAAAGATTCCGGACCTGCTTTGCAGAGCCGGCCCGCCCCCGGGACAAACACAGAACTTCCGAGGCTGCTCCCCGGAAAGGAATCGCTGGGAGACGGTGTGCCGGCCACGCCAGGTTCTGCGAATCCCCGCGGGCCCCGGCGGGTCCCGCAGGAAGGTGTTGGCCGGGTTTGCAGCTCACGTTCGTGTTCCCGGGGCCCGGGACGTCGCCAGCCTCGCGGGAGGGAGAAGCCACGTCTGCGGCTTGACTTGCCTCTGGGGCCAGCAGCTGTGGCAACGCGCACCTGCACCGGCCTCTGCCCCGAAGCCAGGATCCCGCGAAGCGCCTGACGACCCGACACTCCCAGTCGAGAAAGGCCCCCTTAGGACCCGTAGCACAGCGGGGAGGGCGTCTGCCTTGCACGCGGCCGACCCGGGTTCGATTCCCAGCATCCCCCATGGGCCCCCCAGCACCGCCAGGAGTAACCCTGAGCATCGCCAGGTGTGACCCAAAAGCCAGATAAAGGACAAAGAGAGTGAGTCCCTCTTAGGACAGGAACTTGCCCTTCAGATCAAGGAGCAGGACACGTTCAGGTCAGAGGTACCTACACTGACCCCCACCACCTGGGCTTGCACCTGGGCTTGCACCCTGAGCGCCCAAGGGTGGCCCTCGGACGAGCAGTAGCCTCGGATCACCGGCAGTGCTCAAAGGCAGCTGGGGATGAAATAGATGAAGGTCTTGGCCTCACTTGGAAACAGCAGAGCGTTTGGCAGTGTCCAGCGATGGCCGCGAATAAATTCAAATAAGGGAGGCAGAGGAGTGGCCGGCTGGACTCAGTCTCAGGAGGCCAAGTTGGAGGCGAAGGTTATAAATAATCCAGCCTGAGAGGCCTTCCAGATAGAGGAAAACAGACCAGGAGGCTGGAAGGAGTTTGGACTATTTAGGGAGTGGGTAGCAGGCAGAAGTCTTAAGCAGGAAGGGAAGATAAATTGGAACTAAAGAGGGAGTTAAGTTGGAGCAGAGGTTTGGTTTGTTTTGTTTTGAGCCACCCGCATCTCTGTGCAGGGCTTACACCTGACTGTCCAAATCATCCAGGGATCACCCCTCTGGACTGTATGGAATGCGGGGGATTGAACTGGGTCCACCGTGTGCAAGGCAAACACCTTGCCCGCCATGCTATGGACCTGGCCCTTGGAGTAAGAGAGTTGTAAGCATATTCTAAGAAACACAGGTAGCTATTGAAAGATGAGCATAAGAATGAAAGGTAAAGGGACTTCTGTAGAAACCCTCTCTCGTGTGTCTGACACTGAAAGACTTCAAGTGGAGCCAAGGTTACCTAAAAACACATTAGAAACCGAAAATGAAGTGTTGACCCAAAAGCTAGAAGCTTCTTCCCAAGACAGTGCCTGCAATTGGGTGCATTTCTGTGATGTGGAAAGCACTTGTTGCTTGGATGGTAAGAATTCGAGGCAAATGCATCTGGTTCTCAGGGAGCTTAGAAGATGAGATTAGCTTGGGTTGCCTAGTATATGCCAGACGTTCTCCCAGATCATCATCATGGGTGAGGTTTTTGAACGTGCATGTGGCCCGGGGGGGAAGGGGAGTGCTGAAATTCAGAGATCTCAGTTATATGACTTGTGCAAAAATCACTAAACAATGATTACTAAACCAGATTTTTAAAAAAAATTTAAGTCTGATCTTTTCACTAAGAGATATGCTTGCAGGGGCTGGAGTGATAGCACAGTGGGTAGGGCGTTTGTCTTGCACGCGGCCAACCTGGGTTTGATTCCCAGCATCCCATATGGTCCCCTGAGCAACCCGCCAGGAGTAATTCTTGAGTGCAAAGCCAGGAGTAACCCCTGAGCATCACCGGGTGTGACCCAAGAAGAAAAAAAAAAGATATGTTTGCAATCTTTATGTCAAATGACTTTTCTTAATTATGGAAAGAACAATTATGGTCAAAATCCCTGAGGTAAGAAAGAGCAAGTGCAGATTTGAACGCTTATTTAAGACAGGTACTTCAGGAACCAAGAAAATAATAAGGTAATACTGTCTATTTGTTTTGGGGCCAATTCCAGCAATGCTCAGGGCTTACTCCTGGTTCTGTACCCAAGAATTATTCCTCACAGTACTTGGTGGACCATATGGGATGCTGGGGATCAACCCTGGTTGATGCAAGACAAGCATCATAAATTCTGTACTACAGTAGTACAGCCCCCTATAGTCGTTTTGGTTATTGTATCTCCCCCAGATGTACCGCAAACTGAAATAAAAGTAGCATTGAAAACATTGTGGATGGATTTGTGGTTAACATGCTTTACTACCCGAGAAAAATTAGAATATTTTAGAGCATCTCTGTAACTTTTATCAGTGTTGGCTAATTCTCTAGTCTATAGGGCTGGAGCGATAGCACAGCGGGTAGGGCGTCTGCCTTGCACGCAGCCAACATGGCCGACCCGAGTTCGATTCCTCCGCCCCTCTTGGAAAGCCCAGCAAGCTACCGAGAGTATTCGATATGCCAGACACAGTAACAACAAAGTCTCCAATGGAGACGTTACTGGGCCCGCTCGAGCAAATCGATGATCAACGGGAGGGCCTTTACTTACTTACTTTACTTTATAGAGCATAGTTGCTGCACACAGCACACAGAACCCAAAACCATCATTATTATTTTTTTTTCAATGAATCACCGTGAGGTACAGTTACAGACTCACAAACTTTCGTCCTTACATTTCAGTCATACAATGATCAAGTACCCATTCATCCACCAGTGCCCATTCTCCACCATCAATGCTCCCAGTAACCTCCCACCCCCCGTTCCCCCCTCCCCTGCCACCTCTGTGGCAGGCACATTCTCTTTTACTCTTTCTTTCCCTTTGTAACCCAAAACCGTTAGACTGAAAATAATGTCTCTCTTTCTCAGCCAAGGATTCGTAGTAAAGTAAAAAAAAATTAAAAACTGTAAGAATTGCGACCAGAGATAACACAGGAGGTCAGGTGCATGCAGCCAGCTTGGTCACTAGCCTCTCCATATGATTGGTCCCTCTAGCACTGCCAGGAGCCAGTCCTGAGCACCACTGGGTGTGGCCCCAAAGCAAGGCCAAACGCAAAACACCGACATCCTGAAGATGACCTGGGGATGTGACTCATGGTGGAGTCCTCCCTGCCTCGCATAAATAAAGCCCTGGGTTTGATTCTCAGCACCACGAACTAGAGATCCACCAGGTTTAGTCCCCAAAACCAAAATAAGGGCCTGAGTGATAGTACAGCGGGTAGGGTGTTTGCCTTGCACGCGGCCAACCCGGGTTTGATTCCCAGCATCCCATATGGTCCCTCAAGCACCGCCAGGGGTAATTCCTGAGTGCATGAGCCAGGAGGAACCCCTGAGCATCGCCAAGGGTTACCTAAAAAAACAAAAATTTAAAAAAAAAATCAAAATCAGAATAAGCATTACTGTCACTGTCCTTACTGTGACTGTCCTCCTGTTGTTCATCGATTTGCTCGAGCGGGCCCAATAACGTCTCCATTATGAGACTTTGTTGTTACTGTGTTTGGCATATCGAATACGCCACGGGGAGCTTCCGGTAGGCTTTCTCTTCAAGCCTGTATTCTCCCTTCAATTCGTATCTCACTTGATTGTTTCTCTGTCTCTGCCTGCTTTCTCTTTCAAGCTCGTATTCCCTCTCCAATACGATTTCCTTTCCTCCTCCCCCATCCTTTGTATCGTTCTAAATTCCATTAAAAAAAAAAACTCCTTCACTAAAAAGATAAATAAATAACAAAGTTTAGACTTATTTATCCTGGGAAAGAGAGAAAATTCAAAATTAGCTAGGTAAAAGGTAAAGGTAAAGGCCCTCCCGTTGATCGTCGATTTGCTCAAGCGGGCCCAGTAACGTCTCCATTGGAGACTTTGTTGTTACTGTGTCTGGCATGTCGAATACTCTCGGTAGCTTGCCAGGCTCTCCGAGAGGGGCGGAGGAATCGAACTCGGGCCGGCCATGTTGGCTGCGTGCAAGGCAGACGCCCTACCCGCTGTGCTATCGCAAAAAAATGAATGAAAAAGAAAAAAAAAAGAACATGGTAGAATGAGGGAATATTGAGGGTAGGAGTAGTGAAGGAGGTAGTAACCATTAACTCAAAAGTTAATGGTTTACGTTAATATGTAAAAGGAACATATTAAGAAAAAGTGACAAAAATTGTTGGCATCAAAAAACTGGACAAAATTTAAGCATTTTCTGTGGACACGCACATAAAATGAAATATAATTTCATAATTTCTGGATGGGCTGGAGCGATAGCACAGCGGTAGGGCGTTTGCCTTGCACGCAGCCGACTTGGCTGACCCAAGTTCGATTCCTCCACCCCTCTTGGAGAGCCGGCAAGCTACCGAGAGTATCTCGCCCTCACGGCGAAGCCTGGCAGCTCCCCGTGACGTATTCGATATGCCAAACACAGTAACAA